GATAGGGAGTGAAGTAGTTGAGTGTGTCGACCGCTTCACTTATCTTGGAAGTCTCATCAGCCTTTGTGGTTTGGTGTGTGACGAAATCTCAGCACGGATACAGAAGGCTCGACTAGATTTTGCCAACTTGCGTCATTTATGGCGTAGGCGAGATATCCGTCTATCAACCAAAGGACGGGTTTACTGCGCAGCAGTTCGTCCCGTCCTACTTTATGGCAGTGAAACATGGCCGGTAAGAGTAGAGGATATTCGTAGGTTACTAGTATTCAACCATAGATGTTCTCGAGGCATTCCTCATACATCCTGACACCACCTGATAAGTAATGTAGTTGTTAGGAAACGGGTACTAGGTAAGGATGACGAATCAATTGATGAAGTAGTGAAACTTCATCAGTTGAGATGGCTGGGACACGTGTTACGTATGCCCAACGACCGACTACCTCGACGTGCTATGTTCAGTGGTATAGGAGTAGGTTGGAAGAAAGCTAGGGGCGGCCAAACCAAAACGACTCAATGCTATACCTACACCGGCGAGGCCACAGGAAGCAGAATCAGGGCTTCCAGATACACGAAGCGTAAATCGAGTCGGTTCTTTATTTTGGCATGATGAGGTCAAATGAATGACGCTACTTGGATCCTGTATGCGCGTTTCGGAGACGCAGCACACATCGATGGCGCGAGATTCCAAAGTCCTAGCTAAGGAAGCCTGCTGTCCTATTTGGCACAGTGTTCGTACGTCAAAAGCTCCTACGTGTAGGTTAGAGCGTGGTTTCAGGAGACCTAGAATAGCGTTCCACGTACTCGAATCGTTTGCCCTAGCGGTGCGAGGTGATAAAGAGACGTGAGGAGGGTTAGTCGGGGAGGTAAGAGAGGTATTAGGAGGTGTCGGAAGGATTTGAATGTGACCAACTTGGTCTCGTGTGCTGTTGCGGGTATGAGGGCTGATGTCACTTCCCGGCTGCTCACAACGTGGAAGGGTATTTCTTGAGGAACCTGAAAAGGAAATTGGATTAGTGTTGGTCTTAACGACCTGGGAGCGTGACTGCAGAGCCAAAGGGACAACTGCTTGAGGTCGGTCGCGCACGGCCTTTTTGTGGAAGGTCTTTGACATGTTAGCTCCGTTCTTCAAAGGGCGTTACCGCCGGAGACGGAAATCCGTGAGGTAAGGTGAGGTGTGACATTTTAAGGGTCGACCTTTTCTAACCCCACTCCTCCTTGTGGGAAGGCAGCATCACTGTCATGCTGGTTGTCCGAGGGAAACACCTTACTGCTGTCACACCTCTCTACAGTCAGCAGTACGACTTCGCCCTCAGACCTTTATTTTTTTATTTATTTATTATTATTAGAACCTTTATTCAACATTATATTTTTGGTACAACATAGAATTCTCAGCATAAAGTATTTCAACAAGTTTCCTTTTCTTATATCTTGATCGATTGTGACAATAAATTTTGAATGATGACCAGTTAGATGTTAGGAGTTCGGTAATCCACATTTGATTAATGTTCATTCGTTTCAATGCATATTGCCAGCCACCATGATGTCGCTGATTGTACCTTTTTGTATCCCGTATAGCGAAAGGTTGTAAACTTTTCATAAACGCGCCTGAATAGATTGTGTGCACAACAGACATAATGATGTGCTAAAACAAACAACAAAACAAATAACTTGATGAAATATCTAGATCGGAGGAAACAGGTAGCCCAGATATTCAAGCAGGCCACCTTGAGTCTTACCGTTCACCAATCGTCCTGCCTGGCATGGTAGAACCTACAGGAACGTATGTTCCAGCCAATATAGCTCGGTTGGGTCATCACGATCGGCAAGCCCGACCACCACGTTAAGGTAGCAGCTTCGGTCGGGCAGTTTGGTGATTTCCGTAATGTATGTCTTTTTTTAATTTCCTCTTCAGTTGGAAGCTGGTTTGTTCTCTCCCACAGTAGGCTCTTGCTGGTGGTATTCGGTCAACGCATATTGAGTATTTTGTGTAGACTGTTGTTTAGAAATACTAGTGCATTTTCGATGATGGTTGTGGTAGTTCTCCAAGTTTCAGTTTCATACAGTGGAACTGTTTTGACGTTCGTATTGAAGATTCTGACTTTGATGTTGGTTAACAGTTGTTTTGAGTTCCATATGTTCTTCAATTGTAGGAATGCGGCCCTTACTTTGCCAATCCTCGCCTTTACGTATACATCCGATCCTCCTTGTTCGTCTATGATGCATCCCAGATACGTGAAATATTCCACACCTTCCAGAGTTTCTCCATCAAGTGTGATGGGTTTGGTGTCCTCCTTGTTGTATTTGAGGATCACGCTTTCTCCTTTGTGTATGTTGATGCCTACCGATGCAAAGGCTGCTGCTACACCAGTTGTATTCATCTGCATTTGTTCGTGTGTACGGGATAGAAGAGCCAGGTCATCTGAGAAGTCCAAGTCATATAATTGATTCTGAGCTGTCCATTGTATTCCGTGCTTCCCCTCAGATGTGGAGGTTTTCATAATCCAATCGACTACTAGAAGAAAAAGGAAGGGGGAGAGTAGACAGCCTTGTCGGATACCGGTCCTCACTCAGAATGTATCTGCCTGCTGTCCTCCATGCACTCGTAATAATTGTAGTACAATTAAAATGCAGACTTAACAAGGAGGCCTTCAGAACGAAGTTCAGTTAATTTTTTATGGTGTCTATGAGATTGAAGTAATGGTATTTAGGTCAATTAAAGTTTTCATATCCTGCCACATCTGATTTCATAAGGGGAATGTGCATCTTTCAAACTCCACCTCACTTAGAAAAAGAAACCCAGTTAAAACGAGATGTTCATTGCACTTTAGTCTATAACTCAGGTGTGACAACAATTAACTAACTAAACTTCTTTTGGTTATCATAAGACTGAAATCATCGGTAAATTCTTTTTAAAAACAAAATACGCTGAATTGTTACTTTATCTTCATTTCACTCTCTTCAACATTCCATACTTACCATATTATATAGAACAAGATCCAAAAGCTTTGAACGATGTTAATACTTAAATTGATTGATCACAGTAGTCATCAGTCCCACGTTTGTTTACTTTTTAGCGCCAATCGACTTCTATTGATCAAAGTGTTAGTGTTTAGATACAACATTCAACCAAAATATCCCTGTTTATTTCATAATTAATCATCGGATATAATCCGTTTATTATAGTAATGTACGAAATCGGCATTCGATAAGAAGTAATCTTCAAAGTTCGTAGAGTAGTTTATCCCATGGATGTTATCACACCATATTTTCTTAATAAGTAATGACCCAATAGTAAATACCAGGTTTCATAAGGTAGGTTTCTGAAGATTGTTTAGCCTGAAGTCATTATTCAACACTAACTGGAGAGTTGTTGAAAGTCATAGATCACTATACAACCGTCTTTTCCTAGTTTCTAATGCTTGAGGTGTGCTTAATTTCCGATGGTTCTATTTCTGAAATTATCCCATAGCTCAGACTACTTTTAATACTGTGTTTACTCTGTCCCACGAAGGCCAACATCTACAGATGCTTCTGCTCTGACTCGTGCAAACACAAATTTAATTTAATTCTTGTGCTGCACGATATGTACAATCGTTATGTTTGAGCTCAACCTAGTACTTGATTGGAAAGACGGGATGGATGAAAACCTTTGCTGGCTCACTTGAATTGAAGATTGTACACAAGCTCATGCACGCATGTGTCCACTGGATAGTTGACCAATAGCTTGGATCCATCAACATATCTTACCCAGCATTTGGCCTCCAATTAGCATCTGCGCATAGGCATGTTATATGCTTGACTTGCCCAGCTTATTAGTCATCGACTAACTTCATGTTTTGGGTGGTACCATCTGGTTGAGACAATTACAGGCCACAGGAAGAAAACTTATGAACCATATTATAGTCTTTTTTGAATGCACAATTAATTGTTCTTCACCAGATGGTGACATACTTGTTATGAATGAAATCTCAGGTTAAACTCAACCAGTTATAGAATACAGTCATAATAAAACAATGTTTATAATCTATCATGTTGTCAACTGTCATCACTAAATACTTCAGTATCATTATTTTCGGGTCTTTTTTCTTATATTTTCGATTGTTTTGATTGACCTTTTTATCTCAGATAATTATCTTAACAAGATAATATAGGATTGTTGTTGTTCAAATTGTTTTAGGCCATTATAACACAGGTTGAATAAGCTTGGTTGGTTTTCTCATTACATGCAATTTAAATTGAACTGTTTTATATTTCTTATGCGCAGTTTCTAGCTCTATAGATTTTTATTTATTTATTTTTCCGATATAAATTGTGAAAACTTGAGCTCATAGACATTTGTGCCAATTCATATATTTCCTGTCATAAACATCTATATTTAATAAATGTAGACGTAGTTTGGCATATCCCTTCATATGTGCCTTTTCATTTTGTCTTTCCGAACTGTATTCTCGTTGTTCAATATTCCTCATTGTGATTGATAGTATAATTATTTCGATTTCTTTAATATCCGTTTTGTTTGTTCCATCTAATGTTGATGTGTTATAAATCATGGTGGCGTACATCCATGTCAGGCTCTTCACGTCTTACCCCTAACCAATTTATTTCAGTTTCCATATCCTTTCTGACTAGATTCACTTTCAACATTTTGTCTTTTAAATGTATTCAGCCTTTTCCATAACTATTGTTCTTTATTTATTTTCGTGAACATATTCTTGCTCTGAACAATTGCATCATCAGTTTCTTAATAAGGATGAAATTGTTATGCTTCTGTTATTTTTCTTCTTTATTACTATCTTCTCATTAGATTATTATTGAAGAAATATACTGACTACCATTTTTGCAAAAAAGTATATATTTGAGATTGTAAAGCTTCAAGAATGGATTCACTAAAAAGAAAACTCTTCATCCAAACACTTTCTTGCTAAGTATATTTCTATAAAATTTCCTTTTCGTGCCTTTTCATGTTCTTTTTTTCTTTGTTGTTTTCTTTCTCTTTCCAGATATCACTACTATCATCTGCCAATCAAGAATTAGTGAGACGTCACCATATTGAGGCTGCACGTCTTTTAGCCACTGCAACAGCGATTAAATCAGATAATTCATTTCAAAATCAACATCCTACATTGAATAAGTTAATCTGCTCTGGAAACGATGTTAAAGTAACTGAAATAAATAAAAATGGATTTCATTATAATTCTGACAATATGTTACCATCTTCCACTTCTTCTGAATCAAATTATCGAAATGCTATTTCGCTGAACTCAGTAGTGATACCACCACCACCATCGTTAACTAAAGTTTCTCATAATACACTAAACTGCAATAAATTCGGAATCCCTTCAATTGTCACTTCAGATAACTTAGTATCCGCTCATGAAATGAATCAACAGCATTCACTGAATCCTATAAAATCTTCAAATATCAAGCTTAGAACATCAAACGGTGCACCTTCAGTTTTGCGTAATAATACTGATGTTCATAAATTTGCACCGGTATTAATAAAAACTGTGAATACAAGTAACCATTCTGCCGTTTCAGTTCACACTACCAATAATAAGGCAGATCGCGATCATAAAGTTATTACTGATAATAGTAATAATCATAACAACACTAATAATACCACTAATAACTGCACTAATCATAGAATTGATAAACATATGAATATACCTCCTCCACCACCTTTACTCCCTATGCACATTCATTCGGATGTTTATGTGGATGGTGTATTATCATCCGCTAAATCTCCCACCGATTTCAACAAACATAAGTATTTTAATAGTAATAATAATCCTTCATTACTCACCGAACTGAATCGTTCATTTATTACATGTAGAACCGATTATGATATGTCACTTATTCAATCAAATTATCGTTCTCATACCAAATCAATGCATGCTTCTCTCCAAGATTTAATTCTTGATGAGTTCTCTCGTGAAACACCATGTATTTCGGTGAGTAATTGTCCTACTGTTACTAAAACTAATAAAAACAGAAATGTTTACAGTATGTCAGATTCTTCATATAGTTGTCAATACGAGGATAATCCGGATCCCCTTTTTCAACGTCACAACCACCACAATCATAATCATAAAATTCTTCATCCTAATTACATAGATTACAGTCACCAATTGAATTTACCACCACGTAAACGACACTGGGATTCATCTAACTACAATCCTACAACTACTAATAATTATGGTGAAGAGTGCGAACCCCCCAAATTGTCTCGTGAGTGTAAGAGTACAGACATGGAGACCTAGCTTTAGCCACTGCTAATACTGCATATAATACTAATAGTTCTAACCTTTCTTAAATATTCAAGTGTAAATTTGGTGTCCATCGTCACTTCTTTTATTGGTTTTATATCATATTTTCACTACACTCTCTCTATTCAAAACTGTCAAAATTGTTTACTTGCTTTAAAACTGTGTATTTTCTTTTTGAAATTACTTGTTTTCTCTTCTACAATCTTGGTAAGAAAACGAAGTTACCGCTACAACTGTGAAATTTAATGTGCATTGTTACCGTTCAATCATTATTTAATCTAATTTCACACGTCAATAACACATATCTATATTTATGTCTGTAAATACGTCTATGGTTCTTTTACGCACATTTTTCATATGATTAGAAATGAAATTCCTTACCATTTGTTTTTTCACATACTTATTTTCAAGAAATCATGTAATACATTTTTTTAAAATCTTAGGCAATTATATTTCTCTAGATATAATAATAAGAAAGCTGTCCATGTATTGCTTACCATAATTTAGTCTTTATAACGAAATGTTTCAAAGAACATGTATGTATGTACTTACGTGAATATAACAGATAATCACACTACTGTTATCATAATTATGCACATTTCTGTTTTAAATGTGTCTTTCTCATATCACCATTGCTTTGAATTTCCATTTCTTGAGTGTGTACACAAGTAAAAGGATGTTTCAGAATGTCCAGTGTAAACTTTCACAGTGCATCGGCTTATTCATTAAGAGAACATACGTTGCCAGGTTATTTGTTATATTACGTTTTTTTATCTTCTAGAATTTTTTCGAGATTGTTACTACTTACTTTTCACTGAGATATATTGTTTTTGCATCTAGATGATACATTTAACGGTAGTTAACGTTGTCTTGATACCTACACAGCTTTAAAAAGTGTTCCTATTGTTGTCCAGATATTTAACTTCTCATCCAGGTCTACTAGTTTATATTTCTTACTAACAATTTTTGGGAATCAAATAGGTTTATCTCTGCGTATATTTCAGTTACCTTGTAAATAAGGTGTTATCAATGTCATCTTAGTGGACATTTATGTGGTGATTATATCTGTTGGTGTTATTGTTACAGTGGTAATGATTATGTCTATTTGATATTCAAACTTTTGTAAGTTCTTGTTCTCTGGAAGTTTTTCTATTCTCAATGGACTAAAAGTTGGTGGGATCATATGCGTGTCTGGTTTTGCCCATCATTGAAACTGGTTACTATTCATTTCGGAATGAACGGATACATATTATTTTCTGTATCTTCAGTTTGTAGACTTGGAAATTTTCCTAACAATTTGTACTACTATTACTTTTTATTATCATCTAATTGTGAGGATTGAAATTTTATTATGTATGTCAATTATGCTGATGAATTTTGATAAGTAATTTCTTGTTTTCTTACTGCCACGTTCCTAATATCTTGAAAGAGAAAATATAAAAGCCGTTTTGTATATTGACGTTTATCTTTCTGATTTTACCCATTTGTGAGCGGTCTTAATGTTGTCCTCGTTTGTATTATTTCCTTCAATAATATTTCATACCATTCACTTATTGTGTATCCTGGGCATTATGAAGTAGTTTGTTTTAAAAATTAAGTTTTCTCCTTCAGGCGTTCCCCTCTATTATTTATTGAAGAGGGGTAATGATACTTCCCTGTATATACAGAAGGTATTATAAGTTCGAATATGTGGCTCAGTGGTTTAAGCGTCCCTACATCACTGTAAACTAAATAACTTTGTTTCTCGACAGGTTGATTCCATAGCTTTTATTTAGTAAATTAAGATCAGTTCACGAAGTTTAGCAGAATCATGATTTCGATACCTAAGTCTACTCTTCTGACATTATATCTTGGAACGCCATACAGCTGTCTGGCGTGCCATAGTATCTGTTTCCAACATAACATCACTACGTACACTGATGACATTTCATAGGGACACCATTATTGGCCTTCTTTCAACTTATCTCGATCGTTGCCACCATTTTACGTCACGGTATAGAGTGTTCACCCTTCTTGGTGTGTGTTTACAATACTATTCACAGTTGGTTATATAATATACCCTTGTGGGCCAGGGTAATTTTACATTGGTTTTCAGGAGAACCAGACACCATCCGGACTTTCGCGTGACAACCCGAACAGTACAGCTCAATCCTGTGGCGCAACCACACAGGTACCAAGCACCCTGGTGGACCAGTTTACAATACCATACTAAAGTAAATTCTGCAGAACTGTTTTATTTCCTTGAGGAAGTAACCGAATATGGATATTTGAGACATGAATCAACATCGTTCGTCATACAAGGTGGTGGTAAGTCTTACGTGACACATGCCTTAACCTTCTCGGTTGATGGTTTACAACCTCACCAATCGATTTTCCGAGTGCCCTATAACTAACCTCAACGTTACTCACTGTCGTTACAGAAAACACGAACAATGTTTAGAGGATAGTTGTGTTCAAAAATTTACAGCCTACACATATTTACTTTCAAACTTTTCGTTTCGTAGCTGAAGTTAAAGTGGCTATAGCTTATCTTAAACGAGAAAGAGCACCTGGTTCAGATAGATTGGCTCTGGATGTCTTTAAGGATGGTGGCCCAAATTAAGCGATTAGATTGACGAATGTTTTAGCTAAAATCTGGGATGCAATCCAATCTGACTGGTCGTAATCACTGATTGTCGCAATATTTAAGTGTCAAAATCATCCTGTGATAACGAAAGAGGAAATAGTTTGACTAATATAGCATCTAAATTACCAGCCTCAGTAATTATTGGGAGCAGAGCTAAGACACGTGAACTGCAAACACGTAAGATAAGGCTGACTTCAGAACTGTTCGTAGCTGCATCGACGAAACATTCACCGTTCAAGTTCTAGAACACAGAAATACTTTCCTCGTCCAACAGTGATGTTCTTCACTTAAAGGCATCATTTCACTATGTTGACCGAGAAATTCTGTGGCAGAGTCTATCATTCGAAAGCGTACGTAAGAACTACAAAAACCTTGAGAAGTCTATAACCGAAAACTTATAATCGGATGAGAGTTCATGGCGAATTATCATCTGCTTTTCCAACCTCGAATAAGGTCCTACAAGGCTGTTCACTATCTCCATTTTTGTTCAATTTCATCATAGACTCACTTCTATAAATTTTCCAAAGGATTCGAAGTCGCCATTCATACTATTGTTTGTGTGCTATGTACAACGTCCCGGTTTGGACTTCACTAGAGCTGCCTCAGCCGTGGAGAACACAGTTAACTAAAGTTTGTCTTCACGTTCGTACAGTCCCAAAACCTGTAGTTGGAAGTAGACGGGAGTTATTCGTGATTTCCAGACCATTGCTTTATGTGACCCTTAGACCACTGTAAGTTAAGACCTAAGATAAGGACGTTCATCTAACGTTGTGGTTATTGCCACCTGTGTGTCTGACGTTGAAGACAGTCATTGACTATCTTGAACCAGATTACCAGAAAGTGGAGGTCGACTTGGAGTGTACTTATATCATCATCATCATCTGCTACTTACCGTATTTTGATGTTGCAGCGTAATGTAGCTTTTGTGCCTTAATTATTCGTGGAATTCTGTTGAAAAAGTTGATAAACAATGGTGGGCATAATTGTTGCGTCCAAGTTTTGCTCGTTCCAGTTATTGAAGTACGGACTATCGATCTACTTGCAAATTACGAACCCAAATTAACAACAGAACCAAGTTCCAATTTAGATACCAAATTTATTCGTAATTCACAAATAATCGACCAAATGTCTTTCTTCAATTTTGTAGGTTCCCAGAGCAAAACTCCCAAATACCAAACCAAAATGTCCGAAATAATGATATAAACAAACAATGTCAAGAGTTAAGTAAAATAATTACATCCAAAAACACAGTAAATTATTATTGTACATAAAAAGGTTTTAATCCGCCAAATGTTTTCAGTTCTCCCGTAACACTCCCGTTCAAAAGAACCTTGGTTCTTTTCAAAGAAAATTAAATAGGTAGCAGGAATCCAAGTATATACATCACAAGCAATCAACAATAAGCATTCACAACACTAACAATCTCGTAATCCCTAGGACTTACACCAGTACGCCTAGGGATCCGAGTAGCTACCTAATATCTACAACTTCTAGACGCAGTTTTCTAATATCTCTTACCAAGATCCCTTCGCTTGTCCGCAACTCCATCGGTCTTATCCTATCACAATTAAGTATCACTTTCCTTACCAGACCTAATAACCATTTTTCTTTCTTTAAAAACCCAGTACATGTCGTCACCAAGTTACTCTCTCCTATGTTCATCTCTAGTTGAGTCCATTCGTGTCTAAGTTGCAACAGTGAAACATATTCCTTAGACAAACGTTTCCAAAATATTTGCGCCAACATAAACAACCTCAATATCAACCATCTAACAAAATGCTTCATCCTCCATAGAAGCTCATATACGCTCACGTAAACATGGATATATAAACCCATATAGAGGACCAATCCATTAATTCCTTTATTTACCGCGAACTCTTTATTCTGATCCCAAATCTTAACATTGTTGGACCCTTCTAGTTCTTTTAGAAAATGAATAACCATAACACATGGCTTCAGGCACCATTGCACATTCACACACAAATTACTAATTGAGTCCGCAGAACATGAAGCCCTTCTCCCAATCTTGACATCATCAATTTCAAACTTGACCCCTCTGGATGCAAAGTCTGCTATGTTTTCTTTAGAAGGTACGAATCTCCATTGGTCCACCTTAGTAAGACTGTGAATTGTCGAAATTCGATTTGCTATGAATGTTTTAAACTGGCTTTTCTCATTTAAAATATAGTGTAAGACAATCATGGAATCCGTCCAAAAGTTAACCTCTGCAAACTTAATGTCTAATTCTGACTGCAGCTGGTATCCCATGAGAGCTGCTAAAACTGCTGCCGTAAGTTCCAAGCGCGGTATAGTTTGGACGTTCAAGGGGGCTACTGTTGCCTTAGCCGTAACAAGACGAGAACATATTTCAGTGTCAGAAATGTAAGAGCGGACGTATGCCACTGCACCATATCTAGTTTCCGAGGCATCACTGAAAATATGAAGTTCCAGGAGCGAACGATCTGATTGCAGAAACAATACACACAGTGGAAAACTAACGTTCTCAACCCTCTTAAATTCACTTAAAATCTCTAACCAACGTTTGCTTTCCTCGTTTGGAATCTCATCGTCCCATCCTAGTCCCAATTTACCTAAACGTTGAAGTAACTGCTTCATGGGAAGTATAAACGGTTCTACCAATCCCAGAGGATCGTAAAGTGAGGTTACACTTGGCAATATACCTCGCCTAGTGAGGGGGCGCTTCGGTATGCGAACTTTAAATTCAAACGAATCAACCATAGTATTCCAAAATAATCCCAACGTGCGTTCAGTAGGAAGTCTTCCAAAGTCAATCTCTTACGGCTTCTGCTCTCTCTTCTGGATGAATTGATTCGAGAACTTGTAAACAGTTACTTATCCACTTGGTAAGTCTAAACCCACCTTTTCTGAGGAGAGAACCAAGGGCCTTTGCCAGCTCAATCGCATCCTGTACATTATTAATGGAGGCTAAATAGTCGTCGACATAGAAACTCTTATCTACGACTTCCTGGATATCTTCATTAAATTCCTTACCGAATATATCTGCCGTCTTCTTAAGAGCGAAATTAGCGCAAAAGGGGGAGGACACGGCTCCAAACGGATAAACTGTTAAACAATATTCCTTAGCCGTTCGTCATATATCACCGTCTTCCCACCACAATAGACGAAATGCTCCCCTGTCTTGTCTCGGAATCTTTACTTGAAGAAACATCTCTTTGATGTCAGCGGCTAATGCTACGTTACCCAGTCTGAACCGTAGAACTACACCAATTCAACTATTTACAATATTTGGTCCTCTCAAAAGCTGATCATTAAGAGAACAACCTTGATGGACAGCTGCACAATCAAAAACAATTCTCAGTTTTCCAGGCATTTTAGGGTTGATAACGGGATGACGAGGAATATAACAACAAACAGCATCACGGTCAAACCCCTCCTTACTAGCTTCAATGATGTAGCCCTTACTTAAATGTTTATTCATCACAACTTGATATTTCTCCAAAAGATTGTTATCTTTCATAAATCTCTTCCTTAAGCATTCTAGTCTGCGTTCAGCTAGTTCCAAATTATTCGGTAGCCTTGGCTTATCATACTTCCATGGTAGACCAACTTGGAAATGACCACCCTCCAATCTAAACGAACTGCTAACTATTTCTAGAGCTTTTTTATCTTCGACAGAATATCCATTACGAAACGTATCTGTATCGTCGAAGTCATGATTATATAGTCTTTCTAAATCTCGCAAAATATCATTAGTGGAACAATGACACCACTGAACTTGATGTAGAGACCTTGATACTCCCTTAGGACCTATAATCATCCAACCAAGATGAGTACGAACAGCAAACGGATG